TGAGGGCCTTTCAGGACTTTATAAAGAAAGCCTCAGGCTGTGTCTGGAGAGGGAGCGGGCAGGTGAGCAGAGGTGCCCTGCACACGGCCAAGGACGCATTCAGTGGGGAAGATAAGTCAGTCGGGCGGGAAAGAGCACTTGTAAAGGGACGCAGGAGCTCCACGGACTCGGTGCCCCAGGGCCACGGGCGCCTCCCGAAGACACACGGGAGGCCCAAAGCACCGCAGAGGAAGGCATCGTGATGCTAACAGCAGCAGCAAGACCTGAGAAGCGTCTCCCCATCTTTTGCAAAACTGCGATTAACTGGGGGTCAGGAGAGGGCCTTCCCTCTGCGAAGTGGGGTGCCCGCTCTGGGAGTTTGGAGTCCTTGCATGGTCTCCACCGCCAAGAGGTTCAGAGCCAAGTTTCTGCTTAAAGACTAGCCTTTACGCTTTTTCCTCCTTCACCGAAGGACTCTTGTTGCTTGGGGCTTGGTTTTGGTTTGGTGACGTCATTTATGTACCATAACGTCCCCCCTTTTGAAGCACACAGTTCAGTGGCTTATACTAGAGTCACAGGGTGGTACAACCGTGGGCATTATCGGATTCCAAAACACTTTCTTCACCCCAGAGAGAAACCCCACACCCACTATCAGTCCCTCCCCATCCTGCCCCGCCCCAAGCAATTTGGGACTTTTTACTGAAGGATCATTTGATGAAAGAACACGGATCAGTGGCGAATCTGTGCAGAGCCCATAAGGACTGGGGTAGGGACAAGTCTGAACCAGGAAGCAGCATGTGACAGGACCCCCGCTGCAGAGGGAAGAGAAGGTTGCCTAAGGGAAGGTTTTAGGCACTAAAAAACAGCAGCTTCATTCAGAACGGAGAGTCTCCACCCAAAGTGGCAATTTGTAAGCTGAAAGAACTCTGCAAAGAAAATAAATCCCCAGGAAGGATAATCAATAAACTCTTTAAGACGTGTGCGTGCAGGGACTAGCCTTGCAGATATTAAAAATGTTCTAAAGCTCCAGTAATCAAATAGGAGGGTATCGGCGCGGGAATGCGTGCCGACAAGTGGAACAGAAGGAAGAATCCAGAAACAGACTCAAGAACACACAGCTGTTTCAAGTATGACAAAGGTGGGAAAATTCAGGCGGACTCCTAGGGGCAACTGGCCGGTCATACAGCAAACAGTAACACCAGACGTGTATCACACACCGCATGCCTAAACTAAGTCTGTGTAAATCCAAGTTTCATGTGAAAAACAAATCACAAGTTAGGGGGAAACATGCATGAAAAAAATAATAGCATGGGAAAGGTCTCATCTGAGCTTCAGATGAAATGACAAAGACATGAAGGGTCAAGGGGCTAACCCTTGGCATCTTAAATGATGAGGGGAGGGGAGGGGAGGGGAGGGGAGGGGAGGGGAGGAAGAAAGAAAGAAAGAAAAGAAAAACAAAAGTCCACCTATAAAGTCAAAAGACAATACAACAAAGGCAATACTTGTGAAACATCTGATAAAGGAATAATGTCAATATACAAAGAACAATTAAAATCAATTAGAAGACAAACATCTCCACATAAAAAATGCGCAAAGTATGTTATTCATTGACTTCATAAGAAATCCACAGTAAAGGAAATAGACATGGCTAATATATGAAAAGATGCTCAATTGCATTCAAAAAGCTTGTAAAAATAAATCAAAATGAGAGTCCCCCGCCCACCCCTTTCTCACATATGCAGCTGGGGAAAGACTGAGAATACTGATGTTAGTGCAAGGTTACCAAACATCGAACACCCACTGGACTTTCAGGAATCTTCCCTACAGATACATTTCCGAACATGAACAGGAATACAGGTAAGAATACTCTGCCGCACTATGGTTTCTAATTGGCAAAAACTGGAACTAACCCAAATGCCCAACCAAAGGAACCGGTTGAAAATTTATGGCCTAACTTTACAATAGAAAAATCCAACCATTAAAATGAACAATGGGCTTCCAGTTAACAGGGCAGGTAAATCGATAGGTTTTCTTGTCCCATTTTCTATCCCATTTGCCATTCCCATCCCAAAGTCCGTTCAAATTTTAGTAAAGGAAGCCCCATGCTCTCTCCTCTATGCCCAAGGCCAGACAAAATGAGATAGGAGAAAATGCAGTCAGAGAGGGAAGCAGCAGCAGAGGGACAGCAGTGATGGACACGACAGAGAACACTGGAATCTTCCATCTGCACACGGAGCAGCCAAAAAGAAGCAACAACCTTTTGTGCCTCAAAACACGGGACACTCCGGAACTGAAGGCTCTGAGTACTGTGAATGTAAGGCTGAGGCGGTCAACTGGAAAGAGGGTTGAAAGGTTGTTTTAAGAGCAGTTGGACCCCGCCTAGGGCACCTGCGCGGCTCAGTCGGTTAAGCGTCATCGGCTCAGGCCTCGATCTCAAGGTTCCTGACATCTCACAGTTTGTGAATTCAAGTCCCACATCAGGTTCTCTGCTGTCAGTGCGGAGCCAGCTTCAGATCCTCTGCCTCCGCCTCTCTCTGCCCCTCGCCTGCTTGTGCTCTTTCAAAAATAAATAAACATTTAAAAAAAAAAAAAAGACCAGTTGGAACCCCAGCCCTCTCTCTCACACACTCACCCTCTCAGGAGACAGTTTCTTTAGAGAAGGAAGACGAAAATGGCCCAGGGACCCCAGGCAACATGGAGATCAGGGATTACATAAGACAATGAAATGGGGAGTGAGTGGAAGTCTTCCTACCAAGTGGTAAGAGGTTGTAATTTCAACAACCTTTCCACACACACACAAAACCACTCAGAGTGAACATGAAAGGGCTCTTGAAATTTAAAATATGACACCGATTATAACAATTCAATAGACAGTTTAGACAATGAAGATGAAGAAATCAATGGGAAGAAGAAAAGGCAAAGTAAGAAATTACAAGCATGAAACACCAAGGGTCCAATACTGAACCAATAAAAGTAACAGTAAAACAGATAAAATGGAGTAGGGGAGAGGATTAATTAAAGAAATAATACAAAATGGCTTCCCAGAAGTAAAAGAAACAGCTTCCCAGATGAACAGACTAACCAAGAAAGTTCCCAGTACAGAAGAAAACAGACCCCACTGCAAAAAACGTCACGGACACTCATAACCAGAGAGGAAGAGATCCTTCTAGCTCCTACAGAGGACGGAGAATGAGAAGGACACTGGCCTCCTCAATAGCAACCCTGGAGGCTAGAGCACAATGGGAGAGTTGTCTCAAAACTGAAGAAAAGGGGCACCTGGGTGACCCAGTCAGTTAAGTGTCCAACTTTGGTTCAGGGTTCATGGGTTCGAGCCCCACGCTGTCCTCTGTGCTGACAGCTTGGAGCATGGAGCCTGCTTTGGATTCTGTGTCTCCCTCTCTCTGTTCCTCCCCTACTCATGCTCTCTCTCTCAAAAATAAGCACAAAAAACTGAAGGAAAATAATTTCCAACCAAGAATTATATACCCAAGTAAACTAAGTCAACCAAACATGAGAATAAAGATGTCTGCAGATACGTAGATCTCAGACAACTTTATCTACCATGCACCAACTCTCAGGAAGAAGCTAGAGTATATGTTCCATCATAATGATAGAGTAAACCAAGAGAAAGGAATATAGAAGGGAAGGATACAAGAAACAGTAGAGAAGCAAAGACGCCCAGATATTGGAAGAGGAAAGTCTTAGGATGACCTAGTGAACAAGTCTAGACTGGAGCAAGACAGAGTAATGTAGGACAAATACCCATAAACAAGCAAAAACACAAGTAGGTTAGGTTTGCTGATGTACTTGGCCGTATTTACAGGGCCTCTCACTTTTGCCAGAGAGTTTGAGAATACATTCAGAAATGCTACATGGAAAGCTAAGAAAATGGAAAGAGATGGCAATGATTAACCCCAGGAAAAACAAAAGTTTGTAAGAAGAAATAATCATAAAGCCCTATATAGTTCATCTTTGAACAATTTTTACATAGTCACAATAAAGCCAACACTGAGTGCCAAACTGACCAACAAATATAACTGTTCTAGGAAAACAGAAATTGAGAAAACAGATAAGTTGGTTGTTTGATATTTTCAGGTGTAATAACAGCATTAAATCTTCATCTACTACGTTAGGGAGCTGGTAGTATCAGAAATGGGGGGATTTAAAAAACAGGAGTTACACATATTATTTAGAGACATAAATTAGCAGAAGTAACAACTAAAAGAGTTGAAGTGATTAAATCTGAGAAAGGGGATTAGAGATGGGGAGGCATGGGGCAAAGACTTCTGGCTTTTTCATTATAATTCTAATAATGCTATTTAACTTAAACATTAAGTACATGTGTAACTCTGAAAAAATCTAATTAATTTTGAAAATTAAATCTACCCATTCTGACATGGAAACATGGCCCAACAAGAGCTCACACAATGATATAAATGGCAATGTTCCATTCGGGTTGGGTTTTTAAGCATCTCACACATGGTGATAAATGCAGAACCATCTGGAAAGAGACACAAAACTGTTAACAATGACTATTACAGGGGACTGGCCTGGAAGGAAAAAGATGAACATGGGATTTTAAAATTTACTTCTTTGATCTGTGTACTTTGGTTTTTTTTAAATAATCAAGTATGTATTGCTTTCTAAGTCAAAAATATTTTTAAAAGAGTAATCCTCTTACGTACTGTTTGTTGTCAGCCTGTTTCACATAAATCTTACTGCTACCCACGTACGTTTAATATAACTATTAACGTCTAGTTCAGAAACACGGGCAGACACTGAATGTATTTTGCGTCTTGTTTCTGCCCAGGTCTCATGCCTCTTTGCTAATTCTGATTTAAAAACCTGGAGCTGAAAAAGGCCCCAAAGCTCACTGCTACCCTATGCACAGACCCCATTAAGTATCAAACAGAAACAATCACTTTATCATCCTGGCACCTGCAGCTTGTCAGGGCTACAATGACAGGACCCACCCCGAGGACAAAAGTTCTAGAATCAGAAGCACCCACACCAGTCCTCACCCAGCTGCCACTTGCGGGAACACATGGTCTCCATCATCCAGATGGGCAGGGCTGGCTCCAGCATGGCAATCCCCATGTTTGCAAAGCAGATGGACCCTTTAAGGGAGGAAGAGGGTTAGTGAGCTTCTGTTTGGGGTCTTGAGTGTCCCCTACCTACTATTTCCAAACACAGTTAAACGCCACATGCCCACAGCCAGAACAATCCACTGAGATACCCAGAACATCTACTTCTGTAAGGAAAAGAGAATTAAAAATAAATAAAAGATAAATAAGGAAAAGTTAAAAAAAAGGAATAGTGAGGAGGCTGGATTTATTACTACTGTCATCATTTTATCATGAAAGAATATTAAATAGATTAAATGCTAATTAAAATTAAACATTAAGTTTAAACAAAGTATTAATTTTTTTTTTCAAAATAGCACCCCAGAGTCATAAAGGAATTGGAGGGAGACTCGGAGGTCATTAGGTTAACCGTCCCAACTTATTAATGAAGAAGGACTTCTAATTTATTAACGAAGGAACTTGCCTGAGGCCACCCAGCCACGTGGGCCACTTCCAGACCACACACAGACTCCAGCAACTGGAGGTTTCTGCACCTAAGTTTTACTATGCGAGGAATACAGACATTTCTAAAGATGCCCTGGGATGCCCCCAAATCTGGTGCATTCGGCACAGACGTGCCGTTGAGGGATTTTTTTTTAATCAACTATACACATATGCTATCTTTGCAAATATCCACTATCTGTGAATCAGAACCCTTTGTAGATGTAGAACCATCGGGGAAAAGATGCACGAGCCGTTCCCCACCGTGCTGGGAGCTTCCTGTGCTGTGTCCCCATGAACCTCTAATTTGCTAGAATCCTGATTCAAAGAACACTGTGTAGTGTAATTAAGGTGCTCACGTAATGCAGAAAGGTTTTTTTTCATGCTTTGGGACGTGACAGGTGGAACAGACAGAGGATACTGAAATGGTCCCCTCACCCTCCCGCTGTTTTCCTGGATTCGCTGTTTCTCTTTCCCATCTATTAATTAGGGCCAAATTGGCGCGGTCGTTCTGTCTCCCCTACAACCCAGGGCCCATAACCCTGAACCCCTCCTCGTCTACCTCTCACACAGCAAACTGATACCCCTGCTCTAAATCCCAGCAAGCAGGGACAGCCTCCAGGCTTCAAAGCCCACCGACCCTAAGCTGTTTGCCCTGCCTTCACTTTCCCATGCAAACCCCACTAAAGGCTCTGGCCTAGGCCTTCCCCTGGCCCTTTTCTCCCCCAAACCCCCCACAAAACCTGGCGCTTCCCTACATGGCCCTGATTGGCACGGTATGCCTCCTTTCCTCAGGAAAACGTAAGAAATACAATCTTCTTTCAACATCCCAGACCTCTGTCACCACTCGGTCATCCTCATAGGTTAAAATCCTGCCAGAACAAATAAGACGCCGCCTGGGCCCCGGCTCCCCGAGTCGAGGCTGCTGGAAGTGTGGTAGCCTGTCATTCAATGTTGGGTATCTTTCCTCCCTGAGTCGGGGTGGGACAGTGAGGGTCAAAGAAAGCCTGAGGCAGGGGGCAGGGGGCAAGGGGGCAGGCGGCAGAGAGCCCCGCTCTCCCCACACACCTCCTCACCCCACCTCGGACAGCCCGGGCTCCATGGGCATCTGGGCTCTGGAACCATCCCTGCATCTCGATGGGGGCACAGAGAGGTGCCCTGCATTAGGAGGGGTGCAGAGCCACGAGGTTTACCAGCAGGCATGATGATGGGGGTCTAGACTAGGGTTATACAGGCACCCCCCACCCCAATCCAGCAGCAGAAGGTTTAAACAAAGCCAGCCTGGCATTTGAAAAAGGCTAATGCTCTTAGATAGGGCATGCATCCTGTTCACCCAGACTCCCCCAGCCCTACCAGTGTCCATGACCACCGCTTAGACAAATAAACCCTAACTGGGTCTGATGCCACACTTCAGGGCTGCCGTCTCCTGGCCTGTCCCCAAGGGCCTCTGCTGACCGGTGTCCGGGCCCAGGCAATGTAAGGTTGGTCCCCTGTGAGGCAGCCCAAGGCCTGTGCCCCTGAGACAGACGGTCCTGGGTGAAGTCTCTTGCATCAGTGAGGCCCACTATCCTCCCGATCAGTCACAGGACCCCAGGGCTTCCTTTGAGCCCATCGAGGCCAAGAACCCAAACACGGGACCTTCTGTAGCCAAAGGGGGTTTCCCGACTGGCCTCCCTGCTGCATACCATGCCCTCTCCGCAAGAAGGGACTTGTCCCCTGGGCCCTCTGGGGGCTCTGCTGTCAGCCTCTATTCATACCCGCCTGGTGAATCAGACTGCCCACCGACGGTGCCCACAGTGAGGCCAGAGACTCCTTCCGGAGGTTCAAGGCCAAACAGTGATGGCCGCTGACACAAACAAACCTCTGTGACGGGGCATCTCCGTGACCCAGACATCTTTGCCCCAAATGAAAACCAGCAAAGGAACTTGGCTGAGGGTCAGAAATTAACGATGGAAGAAAGCTATTCCTTGTGACGTGGATGTAACCTCTTTGCCGTTCACGTTTCACGTCGCGACGTTTCCAGCAGCCAAGTGAACCCTGGTTCTCGCCATCCACCCCTCCCCACCACCCTTTGGCTGAGAAGAACCAGGGAGACTGGGGGGAAGCCCCACCTGCGGCAATGAGGATGTAGGGGTCCTTCAGCAGGGTGGTCAGCGGCGTCCCCTTCTGGCTCTGTCAACAAAAATCAGGGGTTAACAAAGTTGATGTGACCATCGCAGCGCCCTCCTTCCCCAGGGGGCTTACCTCTGGCTGCACCCGGGACGGCTGGAGCACAAAAAGCTGAATAGCTACGACAGAGGGAAAAAAAGGATAAAAACGTGTGGCTCCAAGCACCTACTGACATGGGTCACCCGACACGGGTCACGACCAGTGAGATCACGGCAGAGGTGCCCGCGTGGACTCACCTCCATCCAAGAGCACCAAGGCGGCCAGCACCAGGAACGGAGCCGTCTTCCCCACAAACTCGTAGAGCACGCTCCCGAAGGGGGGGCCCACTGCAAGGAAGAGAAAGAAGGGCTGGTGCCAGGCCCCGCGACTGATGTCCCCCCTCCACCGTAACCATCCGTTTGTTTCTCGAGTTTGTACTTTGTTCAAACACCTATGTGGGGTGACTGCCCTACATTCTTTTCAGTAGTTTCAAGTTGTCCTGGGGACTTCCTCCAAGCTGGTTTACACCCAAGACACGGGCAAGAGTGTAGAAGGGTCACCCCCAAAGTAAAGACCAGAGAGAAGCCAGACCCAGGCCACACACGGCGTGCTGCTTACGGAGCAAAGGAACATGGGTCCGCGGGGACTTGGCTCCTTATAAACCAGCACAGCGGAACTTTGGGCTCCCAAATGAAGGCCGGAAATGTGACCGAGAAGGGAGAGGACCCAAAGCTCCTCTCAGGGAGGATAGGTGTCCCCTGGCCGGGGGTGTCAGCCAGGGCAGGTGAGGAAAGCGGACTTGGAAGGTGGGAAGTCCTCAGGTGGGATGGTAACTCAGAGGATGTGAGAGAGGAAGGATCTTGGCAGACCATCCCATTCCTTCGTTTTACATCTGGACCCAGGGTCACCCAGCAGGTTGAGAGGCAGATGCAGAGGCAGGGAAGCCCACGTCCTCCTGGGTCAGGAAGGTCCCACCAGTTTTCCAAGGCTCCATGAAAGTAGGGAATGAAAAAGGGGACAGCTGGGGGAGTCTGTCAGCACGAGCAGACCCAGAGTGGACTCAGGGAGCACTGTCACCCTCCAATGCCCGCCAGCCCCTCCCCACAGGCTGCCTCCAGGTGCCCCTTGCCCACCTAGGACCCCCATGGCCAGGCCTCCCAGGGCGATGCCCATGGCGTTGCCTCTCTCTTCGTCATCCGTGTACACGCTGGCCAGCATGCCCATCCCTAAACAGGAAAAGAAACGTTCAATAGCAAAGCTCTCAAGGGAGCACAAAAAAAGAATAACCTGTGACTCGCCTGCCCTCTCTGGCCCAGACTTGTGATCTCCCAAACCCGTCAGATTCACAGAAAGGTAAGACCAAGCAGAACCCAAAGGAAAAAAGCAGTGCCCTTCCTAAGAACCCCTCCCCAGGCACCACGACTGACACCTCGATTCCCCACATTATTCCAGCTAATTCTACAAGGGGCTGGCCAGCCGGGGCAAGGTTGGCGGCCTCCTCAACGGA